TGCAGAACAGGCCCGCAGAGGCCAGACATTTTCAATGGCGAGATTGGAAAGAAATGCAGTTTTTCTCCATCTGCTGTTAGTCTCGCACACACAAACACGTACAGTGAGACCAGGCTATAGTGACTCACTCTCAAGCTGATGGTGTTTTGGTATTCGTGTGGCATGTAGCCAGTAGGAATACTGCAGTGTACACTCACACGGGCACAAACTGAACTCATTGAAATTGACCTGGTAAATTCATGTTTGTGGAAAATATTATACATTTTTTTCAGGATTCTTTGTTGATTTAAAAGTTTTTAACAGCATTTATTTGACAATGTTTTGAAATATTTACTATCAATATTTTATGCATCTATTATATTATTTTACAGATCAATTCGATCTATATTATACATCTACATATATTTCTTCATCAGTCTGACTGTTCTTATTTGGACTATAGATCTATTGATCTATACTGTATGTGAATATTCACATTCTTAAATGTCTGTACAGACAGGACGAGAATCTGTGGGACAGTGTGTGTTCATTATTTGCTGGGTGTTACTTCCACATGAACAGATGGTGGAATCATGTCATTGCAGTCACTGTAGAGTGTGCCAATGGAATGCTCTGATTGAGACAATGTCAGAGTGATAGCCTGGTGTGTGTGTGTGGTCAGTCATCTTTGCGTGGGTGGGCAAAGACTGTTAACATGCAGGGCTTCGTGTCTGTATGTGAATAGTAATATTGTGCACAAGTGTTTTACTTCCCACTATAATTAAATCTGTCCATCCCCCTGTTTTTCTCTTTTTGTCATTCTCTTTCTCTCTCTGTCCTAATTCTGTGTCTCTTAGTCCACTCTCCTTTCTTCCTTTGGTGGTCCTGCCTCATTTCTCTTGAGGGGCAGCAGGTGGTGTGGTCTAGGGTCTACATATGTGTGTGTGATGGAGGGTATTGATTTGTAGATGTGTTGATGATTGTGGTGAGCTGGATGTCTTTCCTCTCTCCTAAATAACTTCTGATATTCCAGTAGGGATATACATTTAAAAAAAAAAGTAAATATTGTCATGAAAACATTTAAACCTTCAGAAATCAAACCTTTCTCAGTTAAAAAAGACCAGTTACTGAAACAATGTGTCAATGTTATGTAGACTTTGCAAAGAATGGATGAAGGATGGTCTGTTTAAAAAGTAACAAAACTGATCATTCCACAAGTGAAGATGGTGTTTACATTTTAGGTTTAAAAGAATAGCATTTATTTGAAATATAAATATTTCACAGCAGTGATCTCACAGAGCTCTGACTGGACTAAAAGAGAAATGAAAACTATTCATTGACAAATCTGTCTAAAATCACTTTTTCATTCCCCTGTCCTCATTTGTTTTACACTCCTCTGCATGTCTGCATCTCTGTCTTTTTCTCTCTTTCACTTGTCAGTGATAATGGCAGTAGTTTGTCTGTGTCCTTGACTCTGGCATAAATCTTTTCTATGGGCAGATGCAGTGACGTCATTCTTCACTTTGTAGGTCTTTGCTTGTCAAAATGAATATAATTACACACCAGTAATGTCCCTTTTTATGACAACTTTTAATCTTTTAATCTTAAGTTTCAGCCAACTCATGGTCCTTATTAAGTATATGAGGGTTATGGATGAATTATTTGATTAGTGACTACATTTTGCTGTGGTAGTTGGTTTGTCTGGCTAATCTAATTGAAAGTGAATGCGGTGACAGTGGAGCTTATCTCTTATACCCTGCTGCTCATCGCTGTCTACAAGCCTGCCGACAAGCATCAATGGGTAAAGGCTCTGATGTACAGGCTTTGTAAAGCGCTGGTTCTTGTGCAAGCATTGTTCTCTCAAGCGGTTTTCACACACAGTGCTTATGTGGGTGTGTAGCATGTCGAAATGTTAACATACACAAACAGTCAGAAGTTTATGACACACTCGACTGAATTTATACTACTTAAATGCTTTAGATTTGCTTTGTAGGCAAGAATAAATTGTGCATGCTTAGTAAAGTACAAAACTAATATTAATGTTAAACATTTTCTTGATGATTTGGACCAGTTTATTAATTTATTTTATTTTAAAAATTATTACGTTTAATTGATTTTATTAGTTCATTAAAATTAATTAATGAATTACATTTTTTGAATAATTACTTTAAAGTTGCAGTCTGTAACTTTTTTAGGTTAAGAATTCCCCTTTGGCTAAGCCCCGCCCCTCTTAGTTACTGTTGCTACATCCGTCAAACTTCATCTGCGCTCTGCATAGCTTATGCTGCGACAGCTCTTCCTGCTGAAATGTAATCAAACTTTTATGAAGCAGCAAATAAAGTGTCCGATAGAAGTGGGCAAAAGGGGCTGCAATATGCGTTCGAAGGCTATATTCAAGACATACAGGTGAAACGCAAGAAACAACAAGGCATCCAAATAGGCTAGAGGCAAAAGCATAACGTTACCATTCACAGTCAAAAAATGAACCACCGCATATCCTAATCGAGGCTAACAATATCAGGGAGCAACACTGTTCATGCAAAGCTGGGTAGGTCTCTATTCACTTCTATATTCGTTATTACAAAGCAAACGGACTACACGAGTATAACGTTGTATTTATTAGCAGCGTGTGCTAGCGTATCAACAACCGGTGTGAGAACCGAAATCATAACATAAAACATTATAAAACGGTCTAACTAGTATAACTTCACAGTAAGGTTAGAAGCAAAAAAGATGTGCTTGTTCATGTTTGAGGGGTTTAGCTGACTGAGGACGTCCATACAGTTTAATCCAAAGAAGACACTTGTCAGGATTTTACTTTACGGTTTTTAGGAAGGGAAAAAATGGACACCCCCATCCAACCTCTCTGGGAAACGCGTATCTGTGTTACAAATGTCCGAGGCACAACGTTTAACCATATTTTTGATAAAACTACGACGGTAATAGCCTGCCGAGACCAAAAATATGAGACGCCTGTGTTGAAAGTCAATGGAGCGCTGTGAAAAAGTGTCCGACCTCTGTGGGAGCTCGTTCTTGGCTGCGCTGTGATTGGTCAATCTACATTCTAGGGCGTGGCTTAGCCAAAGGCAAATTATCCAAAATAAATGTTTGAGCAAGTACTGTATATAACCAGCCAGTGTTCAAAGCGATTTGCTTGCCATAGCTTGATTCAAAGCGGTAAGCTTGTATTTGTAATAAGGTTTTTAATTCCAGTGGTACTGGTGGATCCAAACCGGCACGGTAACTGACAGCTGCACATTCTCCTCAACACGTTGTGTTCATTAACACTGTGCCGAGGCACAACCCGCATAAAGTTGATAATTCTGCGAATAACTGCAATTGCAGATTTCGAACAGAGATGGCATAAAAAAGAGGAAAAACTGCAGACTGCAGCTTTAACAATACTAGAAAAAAATATTTCTTTATTTATAATAATAATAATAACGTTACTGTGAATAATGCATATCCAAACTTTTGGTGGTGTGTCAACATCCTTGTACCCACAGTTTGTGAAACTGTTATTTCATAAACTGTGGGTAAATACTTACACACATAACAATTATTGTGAAATTCCTTATAATAAAACGGTGCTTTCTCTGGATTTCAGCATGAACGCAAACAGAGTTACAATTGCAGCGACTCAAAGACGAGATCTAATAAAGCATATGGATGTGCTTTATGCTGTGGTTTGGCAATCACTTGGTCCAAACATATTTTGTGGTCTGTGCTTTTCTGCCCACTTTCAAAAAAATGACATAATTTAAAACAGTTCTCACTTCCCATTGAGATGAAGTGACATGTCAAACTTTTTTTGTCAAAAAGTTTCTTTAGACTAGTCAATTTTACTAGTCAGTCTTACATCTGGAATTGTTTCTTTCAGTTTTTTGTTGCCTACACACTGAAAGAACAATGCAAATATGAACTTTAGATATGTTGCTCAAAGGCCAATAAAGCAGTGAAGTGTGATTCTTCATGTTTGCTTAAATTCCTAGCAAAGTGAATTTTACATTGTTTTACAGAAGGAATCTGATGCTCTGCCCATGTTGTTGCTGGATTGCAGATCTTAAGGGCATTGTTTTGGTTAATGTGTATTAGAGAGGTCTGGATTTGGAACTAATATAAGTTGTGAAGCCTCTAGGGGCCATATAGAGGTTGGACCACTGAATAACCTCAATCATGGATCATGAGTTTGGTGTTTCCCAGGGTGTTCATATGACAAATCAAAACAGGGCGTCTAAAAATGTATATTGTTTCCCTACAGAAGATGCCTGTAATCAGAACAATCTGTGTTATAAAGTTCAGACTCACTAATGTGATACCGTGGAGCCATTATCATTTAGATAAAATATCATTTAGATAGAAATCATTGTTCAGGATATTGGGCCCTATCATACACCTGGTGCAATCCGGCAAGTGTTTTTTGCTAGTTTCAGCCGACACATCCTGTGCCACGTTGTTTAAATAGCAAATGAATTATCGCCCATTTGAGTACTGGTCTGAAAACGAGGTGTGTTCACGCGCATTGTTGGCGCGTTGCTATTTTGAGGCAACCAAAATATTTTTTTGTTATTTAAAGAGCACGTTAGTAATATGCGCCTGTAAGCGGGTCCACAACACTTACACTTTGTCCCGTAGATGTCGTGCACAAGCAAATCCGTTTTCTTTAGTGTACAGTTTTTCCACTTACAAGTTCCGCCATGTAAATAGCTCATCTGCCATGGCGTGAGAACAACTGGCTTTTAAAGGGAATGGGAGATTGGTATATTGCACATTACGCCCAAAAAAACACCCATATTAAGAGAATGGAAGCCCTTTTAGACCGGCGCACTGACTTTTTTTCCCATCTTTAAACTAGCAAAAGTGGAATCGGACATGCACTAAATGAACTTGCACCATGCGCTTTAGACCATGCGCTAGATCATTAAAATAGGGTCCATTGTGTCTAACACTTTTCTTAAGCATTTTTTTTTATTTTGTATTTTGGGAAAAACATGGCTAAATGATGGAAACAGACCATGTTGTAGCAGTCATATTTGTTTTTTATTTAATAGAATTCTAATGCTTTCATTTCTTGTTTATATAAGTGTACTGTCATAACTCCAGGAAACAATTTACACAATGCATTGTACAGATTACATACAGAAAACATTCAGCTCTATTAGGGGGATAGGCCGAACAGGGGAATTGATTTTCTAGAGCATCATGTGGAGGTTCTTCCTAACATCCTAAGTTGAGTCTCTTAAATGTGATATACAATAGTCTCTATTTAATCTAATAGTTATTGTACAATCCCTTTTCATATCAACATATTTATATTGTCATGTTTTAGGCTTAGGGATGAAGAGCTAAAGGTTTTGAAAAATAGGTTGCGCTGAGTTGAGTGCATAGACTGGTCTGATGTAAATTAAATTCGGTGCTTTTGGATGAATTCACCTGGATGTATTGTATTTTAGCTGGATAATGATGTACTGTTTTGTAATCTTCATCAACATTTTCTTATAACTAAAGAAAAAAGGCACAAAAAAAACCTATCACATTCAATTAACACAGAACACACAAGCGAAATAGATAAACAAACATAATAGACAAAATCAAGCTTGTTGAACATTACTCAAAGACACCTGACAGAGTCCACAGGCACTTTCTGGTGATTGACTCTTTGAGTGTTCAAATTCATTCTGTTTTAAGTGCTACAAAGGTAAACTGTCTCTATAAAATACTGCTCTCAAAGAATACATCTATTTGAAATTTAAAACAAAAAGTTTTATAAAAAAATAAAATAAAATAATGACTGAAGTAGAAATAAGGATGGATTTTTTTTTATGCGAATATATGGCAAATATGAGTTTTGTTTTCCTCTGATACAATTTCTAGCTGACAAATGGAGATTTATAACCATTTTTGTGTGGAGGTGTTTTATTTATGGCAACTTTTGGCACATTCTAGGGAACTGAATCAAGAATCAATCCACTTGTTTACTTCAATTGTTTTAAAATGCTTACTGACTGATGCATAGACGGCCTGTAGATGCCAATGAAGTCGTCTGGGTTATATGTGAAACACATGGTAAATGGCTCTACCTCATATGTAAATTCTCAGAACACTTTAGGACAACAAATCTTTTTAACAATCTATGAAAATATAGCCATATTTTCAACATATAATACATCCCACCACCATCCCATGAGGGGCATCAATCGCTCAGATTTCTACACAACCCATTCTTTTCTCGGCGCATTCCCACACACAGACCAAGATATCTTATCTTGATCTCATCAGATTCTCTCGAGTAGGCTAATATCAGAACAAACATCGATGAGTGTTAAACCCCTGATGTGCATTAAACACTAATACGCAAGCAACTCCAGAAGCCAATGGATATGCTTCGCTGCCTGATTTAATGGAAAGTACAGCGCCTGGGGAGATGCATGAAACTAAAGCCGTATAAAAGGTGATGGAGCAGACAACCTGCCTGCCAAAAAAGCAGGAGGCAGAGATGTTCCACCGACTCTTATATCAAACTTTAAGGTTATGCATTACTTCAAGGAGGAACTGAATTAGAGTGTAATAGTTCAAACCAGTCTGTGACTAGCATTGAGTACTGGAATAATCACCCTGCTGGAAAGTCCATCTTAAATTGTTAGCTGGCAAGCCACCAAAAAAAGAAAAAAAAACCCAAAAAACTTCCAGCTAATCATACCAGTTTAAGGTGGTCAAGCTGGCTTTTGAACAATAGTGGTAGGTCAACCAGCTAATAACCAGTTTAGATCAGCTGAAATGGTGCAAAATACTGCTACCTGCTTTAGATGGATTTTTGAGGGAATTTTGTTGTATTAAAGAGTGATTTCCTTTAGATTCATCGGTGATTAGTGGAACTGAGAGCAGAAAAGTTGAGAATGGAGAGGCAGAGCTCCAGGGAAGGGAAGCTGAGCTGAACAGAGCCCCAGGAGAATGAACTGACAGTGGGGAAGAGAAACGGAAAGCTTCAGGGGTAATTACGACCTGCCTGACAGGAATGTCTCACTAATGCCTCTCATGTTTATTCCAGAGCCTGATGGTGAGCGCATTAGAAATGCAACGGAAGACAGTCCATTAGATACTGTGTGTGTGTGTGTGTGTGTGCGCGCACTATGGAATATCTGTATTAGGTCCCATCTATTTATGAGTGCAATATCCCATTGGATGGGTTGCTCACTGGATGAGAAACAAATGTCTGTTTTTATTTTGTTTCATTAGACCATTACTTTTTACTTTAAAGGTGATATAATAATGTTAAAGCACTTCTTATTCCCCCTTAGTCATGACTGCTTCCAGCACATGAGTGCTGGGATGGTTGTGTAATTCAAAACCACATTATGGCATCTGAATCTGCATCAGCATTTATGGAATGAATCAAGTAGCCAAGATAGAGAGTGGAAAAGAAAGAGTGACAAATGTAGCGACAAAGACAAGGAAAACTTAGACAGGATGACTCATCAAGAGCTACAGTAAGCGTCAATGATTGTGGAGTCTGAGCAAGAAAAAAAGAGAAACTTTTATGAACCTTAAGGCAAGCAACTTGAAAATATGATGGGGAAATCCTAGTATTGGCAACACATCAGATAATTTTCTCTGGAAGGCATATAAATGGTCAAGGAACAACCTTTTAAAATAAAACGTTAATATTGGCTTGTTTATTTAAGGCTTGTAAGACTTAAGTCAGTGAGGTTACTGACTGGTTATTCATATGTAGTTAAAGATACACATTTGGAGTATACAACTTAAAACAACTTTAAAATATACTAGCAAAATATGTTTTTTGTTTAGTATTCTTTTTTAGTAAATAGTTAAGACAAATGATTGAGGCGGTGGATGAGGTTTCCTCAAAAGTACTTAAAGAATCATTAATTTTTAAAATTTTAAGAAACCCGGGCTGTTAAATCTGAATCATCACTAAATATCCAGACATTCCTATCAAATCTGAAAAAAGATATGGCTGAACTAATGGTAGGACATTAACCTGGTGGTTGTTTCTAAGAGTACACGATGGCTTGAAAATAGTTCTGTAGCTCTTTTAGTTCTGGTTTCTGTTTGCATTGTGACTCAGATTTCCGAGGAGGAAAGGCGAGAGCATCTAGGCAATGAAACCTAAACTGCAATAACTAGAGGAAGCAGGGAATATGACACGCTATGCGTGTGTTTTTTTAGAGAAAAGGCTGTCACGGAGAGTGTGAAAGAGAGAAAAGGAAAGGCGAGCTAAGTATAGATCTGAGTCATTACATTAGTAAAGGTCAACAAATGTCACAGACAGTCGTGAGTTGTTACCCATAAACGCTGACCTGCGATCAGCTGCTTTGAAACAGGACGGTGACTGGAATGCGTCTCCGTCGAAGTTTTAACACACCTGGAAATGGCTGAATGAAAATGGGTACAAATACAATTATGACTAAATAAAGGGCCTTGATGTTGTAGACAAAATCTATGAATACTTCAAAGATAAGGCAAAAACAAAATCCTTATTAGATCAGGCAGAAGGCTCCAGGTAGAGGAACCATGGTGCTGCTGCTAAATCGATATGCGATATCCATGAAGCCTGAGATGGCCATCTCTTTATGTTCTCTTATGAAGCCAAAGACATCCAGAGTTTGTGTCACAAGGTCACATTAATACATCTGAGAAACCCAGTATATGTTAAACATTCATCAAAGTTTGTGGTGGGTTTCGGTATACATTATAGTGAACTTTCTTACGGGTAATAGGCTTGTGTTTAGAAATAGCTACTTTAGGCCGGTGAGTCTGAACGTTGATGTGGATCCATTGATGTGGTGCTGTTGAACCATTTAACAACGTATTGTCTGTGCTAGGTTCAAAAGGATCAAAGGTCTGATCATTTAAGTAACGGCGTCCCTTGCCGGATGCCTGTCATGGCTTCACTCCTGCATTGTTTCCTTCCCCAATATCTCCTCTCCTCTGTATTGTTATATTGATAACGCGACTTCCTCTTCTTCACTGGTTAGCCCTGAGGTTGGGGAAAGTCAGGCTGAGCCCCCCCCATCCACTCTCACCACTAGAGGAAAAAAGAGAAAGAAAACATTAGCAGGTCAAGATTAAATTCTTCGAGCAGTATGTTGGGAGTTAGTGACTATACTAATTTAACTACATTTTTCATTAGATTATTTGTCCTAACATATTGTCTCTCTCTCTCTCTCTCTCTATATATATATATATATATATATATATATATATTAGGGATGTGATGTGTTAATCGATGTTAATCGATTTACGTGACAACAACGGCAATACCGGTATCACGGGGGAGTGATTCCACCTCGCTTTTAAATCACTTATTCAAGGGAAGTCATTGCTTAAATGGTGTGTTTATTATTACTCTTTATCATTATGTTTGCAGGTTACATATTAGCATTGGGTTTAAATCCGAAATATTGCCAAAAAGGAGCTTTTACATTTCGCTTTGAAACCAAATCTTCCACCATCACCATTATATCAGTCACCTGGCCCTCACTCTCGTCACAATGATCCTTCAATGTTGAAAAAAGTGTTGTTGTCCTTCAATGTTGTGTATATATATATATATATATATATATTTGTATATAGTTCAGTGAGCCTTGATTTGTATCTGGTATGTTAACTTAAAATAAAAAATATTGATCACAAAAAAAAAAGTTGTGTTGCTTAATATTTTTGTGGAAAACGTTATTCGCCTTTTCCAAGATTCTTTGATGAATAGAAAGTTCAAAAGAACCGCAATTACATTTTTATTCTCATTGGTTTTGTGCCACACAAATCATGCCTTAATTTAGTTAGCTACTTCTTTTTTTTTACTGTAATTCTTCAAAACTTGTATTAGAACTTCTTTGAATGAGTGTCTTGAAATGTACAGTGTCAGAGTAACTTCACCAAAAGTGAACGTTGTATTATATTACACTAGAGACTGTCAATTAGTTCTAGCAGTATTTGATACTTAAGGTCCATGTCGACTAGTCGTGGGTCATATAAATGTAGTTATACTTACAGTTGATAAGAAAAATGAGAATTTGTGCATGAGTAGTAGTAATTCTTGCAAAAGTCTTGCAGAAAATAAAACATTATTGGTGTGAACTAAATTAATCCTATAAAGAGAAACATTATGTATTGCCGCATGTCATTTGGGACAAAATGAAATGCTTAAGGAAGGTTTTTCTCACTGAATAACATGCAGGTTCCATTTTTAGCCAGTTTGAGCCGGGTAGCGAGCGGTCCTCCTGGAGCTCTGAGCGTCCCGTTTCCTCTGCCTGCCCTAACCATTTAACTGCAATCACTACTACATTCAGCCTGAGACACAAATGCCTCATTTTCCCACTAACCCTTCAATCTGTTGTCAATTGTGCAGAGCCATGGAAACAGTTCCGGAATGCTGCAAGTAGGCTTTTAGTTCTGAGGTCCTGTTTTGTGTCTGGACCAATTCAGAGCTGAGCCATTTGTGCAATACCCCCCCAAAAAAACAAAAAATAACCTTTTTTCGTCTTGTCAATGACATAATAGCAGTCTACAGAGACAAATGTAGCCACACCCACCCATTTGAGAAAACAAAAGTGTGCTGCATAATTAGACAACAAATTTTAGGTCACAATTTGGCATATTTGTTAGTGGTAGAGGTGAGAAGTGCCAGGACCAGTCGATAGAAAATCTGGAACTCCATCCAGATGAAGTAAACTGTGTATTGGTATACTATTGATACAAGTATAAGAAGTGCAGAAAAACAAGTTAGTTAGCAAGCTCTCGATGAAGCCAAATTTAGTTTAGTTTTTGTTTTTTTAGTTAAATACATCTTAACCCAAAAACTAGTTTATCAAACTGGATATTGTTTATCATATTCTGTGCACGCTTTCTATCAAATCCTGGAAATACTACAGTCTTTTGTCTCCTGAGGGGCGTCCTACATTTTAAGTGTCCTCAACTGGGATGTATGCAGTATTTTGAAATCACATTCTCTCGGCCTACCGAGGGTAGTTCTGACCAAACCTTATGCTCTCGAGTCTGAGAGAGTGTGGGAAAATGTGTGTAGGCAAATAGTAAACATAATATTTCAATATATCTTCTGTCACAGTTAAACATGGTTTAGCAATAATATACGCACTATATTTAAAGTCACATATACAATAGACACAATTGTCTGTGATTTTGACTCATTTTTGAAAACTCCCACATACAGAAAAAAATAGTAGGAAAGGGGATGGTTCGTTCAAAAATTCAAATACTGTCATGATTTATTGTGTACTATGTGGCTGCATAATAGAAAATAAGATATTTCGGATTTTTGTTCGGATCTTTATTTTCTAATACACTGAAAGTGAGTCAGTGGGGTCCAATGTTGTTGTGAACCTCAAGGACTTTCATTGTATTGACAAACACATCCTTCCAAATATCTTATCTGTTCACAGTAGAACGTCACAGGTTTTGAATGAAATAAAGTAAATTATGACAGAATTTTCATTTTTGACTGAACTGTACCTTTAAGACAAAAGTTCCTGATGTCAGTGTGCTCAAAGAAGGGGAAATGAAAGAGGCATTTAAAGGGGAATGTCACAACAATTTCAACTTAATTAAACCATTTAGAAATCATTTGGATGGGTAAATAACCTTTTCTGGTAAAAATGTTGACATACATGTCAATGTTCTAAGATACTGTGTATGAGAAACCATGTATTAACCACCTCGGTAGACATAGCTCCGCAAGATAAAGTTGTCCGGCTATGATAATAACAAATGCACATGAGCAGCGGTAGAAAGAGGGGAGAGGGGACAGTGTTGTGAAATACTCATTGAGAAAACATGCCACAACAAAAGTGAAAATCAGCGAAGATATCAGTAGCACCTCATTTCAGTACACGAGATCCACGGGGCGGAGTCCGAAAATCCAGATTTAAGAGGTGGAGATAGGTAGGATTAGGGGTGGGGCTAGGGATCAGGGGCGTGAGATGGGTAAGATTAGGGGTGGGGTTAGGGATCAGGGGTGTGAGATGGGTAGGTTTAGGTATGTGGAAGGTGGGATCCAGATCCAAGTCCTCCCCTTGGATTTCGTGTCCTGCAATGAAAGCCATCTTGAAGAAATGGCTAGAGTTGCCGTGTTCCCCTTTAAATGAATTACAATGAATTTGAAAATCATGGATAGAAAGGAAGAGCATAGAGAGATAACAGAAAGATAGCAGAGTGGCTGAAAATTGCTGCGGTTCATGCCATATTGCCAGCCTTCAACCAGATGCCTTCAACCAGATCCAAATTTGCCCAGTAGCCTCTGTCCATCATGGCCTCCTAATCATCCCCATATACACCAATTGGCTTCATCACTGTCTCCTCTCCACCAGTAAGCTGGTGTGTGGTGAGCGTTCTGGCGCAATATGGCTGCCGTCGCATCATCCAGGTGGATGCTGCACATTGGTGGTGGTTGAGGAGATCCCCCCTTCTATGTGAAGCGCTTTGAGTGTCCAGAAAAGCGCTATATAAATGTAACGAATTATTATTATTATTAGATGCATGGCCAGATGGGAATTGTGCTGACCCTCCTGTTCAGCCACTCAGACCTTCGCAGATGGCGTGACTGCTCTTCATGTTGAGCAAAGTGTGGATCCGTCAGATCACAAGTGCCAGAAGCGAAGAAGACTGAATTCCTTTAAAAAATTAAAAACCCTTTCACCTTCATCCCCCTCCTCTCCGTCCATTCCCTAGAGTCTTGTAAAAGCTTGGGATTGAGAGCTGCTAGAGAGAGATGGAGAGGGAGGGAGAAAGAAATCCTGCTATTCTAGCACTAACTGCTGACTGTTCCCTTTCAGTCGCTCACGTTTGACGTAGTCATGATCCCGATCAGTCGGCACGTCGACTACGTCTCCGTTCCCTCCTTCAGGGAATGAGGGTTACATGCGTAACCGAGACGTTTGTTGGTGACTCCTCCTGAACTACCAACACAGCACATTTACACCAGCTAATCAAGCTATTTGTCACTCTTAATTGACAGCAATGTATACCACTCTAACTAAGAGAGATATGCACAGTCAGGAACTGCTGATTCTGCAGCATATTCACTCGTCTCTTGGGTGCTTTAACAAGTTACGAAAAAAAAACACATTTCTGAACACCAAATGTGGGTTGTCTGAACGTTTTAACGATTTCATGGAAGCAGCGGCAAACATTTGTAGCTGATGCCTATTAGCTACATTGGTAGATCAAAAAAAAATACAACAACTGACGCACCAGTAGGTCCAAAGTCGACCTGCCATCTGTCATACAACAGCTGCTAATGAGCGAGTTTTACTGTCAGACTGTTTCTCTAGCCTTAAACATACCGCCCATGTTCACTGACCATCTAAAGTGTATTGCACACAAAACCGGCAAGCACTTTATCTCATTGCTGGCTTCTATCGAATGTCATAAAATGATATTTTATTAGCTAGTGTTTTTTTTTAAACCTTTTAATTGGGTCATTTTCAATCCCATGGTTCGGTATTGAAAAAGTGCACTGATAAATCAATTAAAAAGACTTCTGCACATTATTTAAAGCAATGAAATAAAAAATAAATGTTTATTACTTCATTAGAAGATTCTGTAATGGATGACCCAAGCGCAAAACATTGATTGGGTTGTGTGGGCACTGAAGACTGAAGCTATAGACAGAGAGACCCTGGGCACAACTGGCGCCTGTGTGTTTACAGTAGCCATGTGTGAGAAATAAAGGAGGGAAGCCTCTGCCAGAAAGACCTGATGGAACAATCACACACGTTCTGGCTGATATTGTTGAATTATTAGTTGAAAAATGTGTGTGTGTGTGTGTGTGTGTGTGTGTGTGTGTGTGTGTGTGTGTGTGTGTGTGTGTGTGTGTGTGTGTGTGTGTGTGTGTGTGTGTGTGTGTGTGTGTGTGGGGTTATGGTTCAGGATTCCCTATGTTGTGGGATATGTGTTGGGCCCCATGAGGAAAGCAGCTTACAAATCATACAAAAAAATATGTTTTTTTGAAAATTTAATAATGCAGAAAGTTTTCTGTGATGGGTTAGATTAAAATATACAGTTTGTACAGTATAAAAAAATATGTCTGTATAGATCATATGCATGTGCAGACGTAGAATTGAAGGGGATGCTTGAGGAGAGCAGGCAAATGTTGATGAGAATATAAACTGCATATAAATTGGCTAAGACAGAGAAAATAAAGAAAAAAGAGACAGGGCTTGTGGACACAAAAAAACAGGGGTTTTAATGTATTTGTTAATAAAAATAAAAATGTAACATTTTATTTCAGCTAGCTGCCGGGGAACATTCCCATTTTCGTTTAGTTTAATTTGATGTACTAAAATAACTCAAACTTAATATTAATAATATTGACATTAAAAAACTAAAACAATACAAATGAAAGCTGCAAGCAGCATTTATAGGTGTTTAAGTGGTTTAAGGCCTTTAAGCACATGCATATAACACTTAGAAAACTTAGGAAACCAAAAGTAAAGATCATATAAAAGATTCAGTCAAGAATAATTGTGTATGTAATGTAAATAATGTTGGATTGATGTTTATAATGAAGTTCATCCTGATAATGCATTCTCAGCATTTGAAAGATTATTTTACCCTTTGGTGGACAAACATGCACCTATGAAAAAAAAATTACTGTGAAGAATGTTAGGGCACCATGGATTGTTAATTTTTCTTGAAGAAGAATAATTTTCTCTCTAATTTCCAGCATTTATATTGAGAGTGCACAGATTGATGATAACTAGAGGAGCAATATTGTTAGATTTTACGTCTCTACGACTTATGGTTCGGTCTGCCAGATCAGTTTTAGATGGAGAATGCTCCATTGTGGGAAAATTAACAATAACAATACTTAAACCCCCCAAAAAAAGATTACACACATTTAAATGATACTATAATTATACTGCACAATACCTGTCAAGGACATGTCCAGGCATACAGTATTTTATTCCATAATCAATGGAAAGAATAAAGAAATGCTGTTTTACAGTAAAATTGTCAGATGCAGGAATGAGAAATTTTGGGAAATGTCACAATACACCTTATGATTTCAAATATTCTTCATCATCTCTGTGCAAATGTGACCTATGTTTTGGTATACTCTGGGCCTCTATGATAATGTTGTGTCGAGGGTCTGCTTCACATTCCTGACACTCATGTTTTTGCCCCCCCCAAAAAAAAACATAAATATTCATGACCAAGCTACCATAAAGCATTGCTGCACCCTCTCAAGAACGTGATAAGTCTCATCACTAAAACCCAAGACTGTCTGTTATTCTCCCTCGTCTAAATTGGGCCTGAATAAAATTGTCAGACGATCACTTTCATAAGAGTTTCTTTCTTTCTTTCTTTCTTTCTTTCTTTCTTTCTTTCTTTCTTTCTTTCAGCCTTTTATAAGTCTTTCTTTCATTTTTCTTTCTTGCTTTCAGAGTGGACTGATGTACTTTGTTTGACAGTGAGGTTAACATAATGCCGTTGGCTCACATAACCATTTACAATAAATGCAAATGAAAATGCTGCTAATTATTTATTCATTAAGAGGGTGCCTTTATCCAGAGTGATTTACTCAGGCCAGTACTCAGTCTCTCTCACATACACAGATGTGCAGAACATTAGATATGTGACATACTGATATCTATTAAACTGTCCTATGTACTAACCTCTTTTAAACAGAGGTTAAACAGTAAACAGACTATGCTTTTGCCCTAATTGTGACCTTTCATTCATTTCACTGTTCTGTGATGTTTTTAGTCACAATAATAAAACTGGCAAAGAAAAACAGTGATTAGCTTTTCTTCAAAAGTCTGATTAGACAACTTATCACAATCAGTTTTAGACTATAAAGGAAGTTCTCCACATTGTAGGCCCTTGCATTGCTGTATATTCAGTTTTACACTTCAAAGGTGAAATGTGTAACTTCTGCACCAAATGGTATTGAAATGCTTTTGTTGTTGTTTTCTTTTTAAGCAATCCAACACGCTTTTGTGTCATACAAACAATGTACGATCAATATTGTTTGGGAAATTTGTTTTAAAATAATTATTATCTGTAGTTCCATTTGGATACACAAGTGGTGCTAAAGTAACACTGCACAAATGCTTTCTCTGTGCTGAATTGATTGCATAAACTGATATACATATATTTCATGCTCTTCAACCCAAGACGTTTTGACAAAATCCATCCCTGCACTTTGCAGCAGATTGAATCAACATGGCCGCTTTATTGTCGAGTTCCCCTCCCCATCTCGTCCCCATGGCGTCAGTCCCGTCTCGTGTGAGGGTACTAACGGACTGTAATCACTGCCGACTCGCGGTCTTTTAAATATTATTGAACAGCACACAAGCAATTCAGAGATTTCTCTGAAATTTATGAAAGCACTTCTTTGGTTTATTTTCAGGGTTTGTGCCCGCATATGTGTGCAGTTCTCGACTTGTGTGTTCCTTTTAAGACCTGAATGATAAACATGTTAAACGTCAGTCTGCTATGTCATCCACACCCAGCCTTACATGGAAATGCCAAGTGTATAAGGAGGGTAAAAGGAAGATATGAGAAAGAACGGGGAGATGGAACAGGGAGAGAGATACTAAAGATAAACATGGAGAGAGGAGAGTATATTTATAAAATATACAGTACATAGGGACGTTGGCTCAACCAGTGGCATACGTTTTGAGGGAAGGGCAGAAGAATGACTTATTATTTAGACTGCTGCAGAAATGACAGTAATCCTGTCTGTGCCTGTGATCTTACCGATCTGTGTCTGCGTCTGCGTCTGCGCTTGCTGCTCCTGCAGACTCTGGCTGTCCACTGAGATGCCACTGTCACTGTGCAGCTTCTCTCCCTCTGGAGACGGTGTCTGATTGGCTGTGGCTGCACGATTATTAGCTGCCTGTTTATTCTGCTTGCAGCTGTTCCACCTGGAAGAAACAGATGCACATGTAGCAGAGTACAAATGAATGTGATGAATGAGAGGAAGGCACTGGCGTTCAATTTCAACAATTAACAGTTATGTTTCCATAGTAGTGGATTTTGTTTTCTTCTAAATATGCCTAAATGTGTTTTAGCAGCTTTATTCTTCGTCATTACTATTTTCTAATTTTCTAAACTTTATATTTATTTATTTATAATTTTAGAACACCATTACAAGAAAGAAAAACAAAACAAAGCAGAACAAGAGACAAAATCAACCTAATAATATTAATAATAAATATATGAATAATTAGAAAAAAGTATTATACGTATATATCATATACAGAATAAAAGTTTTTTGTAAAAATTTTGTAAAAACTTTTTGTAAAAGTTCTTAGGTTAGTGAGTAATCATAAAAACAATTGTCGAAAAGTTTGGGATCAGTAATATTTTTTTTTCAACTTTTCAAAATTGATACTACGAAATTGTTCTTGAAATCATCATTTTAGAATGATTTCTGAATGATCATGTGACATTGAAGACTGGAGTAATGATGCAAAAAAATTCACAGGAATAAATTACATTTTAAAATATATTAAAATGAATATTTTATATTAAATTGTAACTATATTTTACAATATTACTATATTTCTGACCAAATAAATCCAGCCTTAAAAAAGTCTTACCGAATCCAAACTTTTAAACGATAGCTTCATCCAAAAGCAACAGAAATCTACGATATGTCCCAATTGAAACAAGGCCTGAATGTTTCACCACCTGACAATCCTCAATCATTTTCCATCTGTTTTTATGTCTTTCTATGTTTTACGGATTTTTCTCTTTTTTGCTCACCTCTTAAAGATGATGTAAGCCAGGAGGCCGACCACGACCGCTGCCAGGATGGAGCAGTAGATGGGAATCAGGTTCTCGTTTAGCCTTTTACTAATAAAGTGAGGAGATCTGGGTTTGGGTGTGGTGTTGTCGTCTCCAGGGCTGGGGCTCCACAAACGGTTCGGATCAGTGTCAAGTGAACTAGAGTACTCAGTGAAAGCGGGATAGGTAGGACTCAACGGATCTAGGATAGAGAGAAAGACAGTCACACATATACGTTAGCTACAATCTGAGAATGACTAGGAACCTACATAGATGCACTGATGGTGAAAACTACTGCAGTCTGCTGCTGTATCTAAACAAAATCCACACTCTATGATTATATATAATTTGGGATAATGCGATGCAAAAATGCAGATGGCATATTGAACTGAACCTGTTGAGATGTTAGTGGAAGCTGTGAAATTGACCAACGGCTGTCTGGATGGTGTAATATGATATATAGCCCTTTTCAGCCACTAAAGGCACTATTTGTCTTTTTATCGGTCTTCCTCTCTTTATTGATTTGATGCATAATTTATCGAAAGGCAACCCCCAATAAATTCTTTCCAGCTCCCAATAGAGCACGACAGTTACTGCCCACTTTTTCAGAAGTCTTTGTGCCAGAAGTTTTTTCCCCACTCATCTTCTCCATAGTCATTAAAAAAAGAGACATAAACCAAATTAACCAGTTTTGAGTTTAATCACATTACAAACTTTTGGTTTAAATCAAAGAGTTTAATAATTATAAATAATAAGTTACTCATTAAATGAGGCTTTGCAAATAATGTTGCAATATTAAGCTATTGACTTAAAGTCATTTGGCGTGTGAAGATCAATTTCTGTACGGAGATTATAGTATTATGGAACCCAACAGTTGCACTTCATTGACACACACACACACACACACACACAATTTTCACTTGTTTTGCTGTCGAACTCTTCACTCTTTCTCAAGAAAAGATTCCAGAATCGAGTGGAGATTGTTATGGTTCATCTTTCATGGCTGTAAAATTGGTGGTGACAGAGTTCAATCTGGCTCAACAGGAGGTCTTAACGTTGCCATGACTCTCTAGAATATTTTCGTTCACAACTGAACTATTCCACAGTGGCCATATGCGTGACTGATTGAGCAATGTTGAAACTGAGAACCTTTGATGCGCAAACTTTGGTTTGATTTATAAGAAGCCACAGTTAAGGATCTTCGGTCAAAAGTCTCTGTTATTAAAAGCAAGAACTCAAGATTTACATGGGTGACTTTAAAGTGGTATGACCAGTTGGTTTGTTGAAATTCCAACTTGAACATGGTTGAATGACGATCTTAGACAGATGACTTAGTCATTAGCTGTTCAACAATTAATTAAAGACCATTGTTTTCTAGATTGGTTAGCATAAACACACACACATACGTGCAGGCTTCTTATCTTCATCACACCTTTCAAACTTGTGGGCATCTGAAGACTTGTGCAGGCAGCCCCCTTTGTTTTCTTTATCGGTCTCTTTCACTTGCTGTCTCTCCCTGAGTAGCTGTCAGTCTTCTCAAGACCATCTCCTCCCTCTTTCGCGAAGGAGACATTCATTCGTTTCCGAGTATGCACTAAAAGTTAAATGATTTCTGAGAGATCTCTTTTTCTTTCTCTCTCTCTCTGATTGAAACAGGGGTATGTGAGTAAATTTGCTTTTGGGGATGTGTTTTTAGCCTGACTGAGCTTGAAACTTGAGTGAAAACACGTCGGCGGTAAAACTCAGCCAAGCCAAAGGTTAACAATTTCAAATTCTTCTTTTTATTTTAATGATTTTCCTTCTTAACGGGGGCGTTTTCGGGATGAGATGCCAAGTGTGAAGTGCTTGTTAACCCTCAGCTGGGTGCCTTCTTTAATGAGGAGTCTTTCTTCTCATCCTCTCACAGTGCTGTTTTTTTCATGGAAGGGATTTTAATGCTTATCTGGCAACCCTTTTCAAGTTTGTTATAATGGTTCTCTTTATCTAACAGAAAACACTCTCGAAAGACTGTCACACACAGCAACCGTTATTCTCGTGTGTGTGTGTGTGTGTGTGTGTGTGTGAGAGAGAGAGAGAGTGTGAGTAAGTGTGTGTGCGTGTGAGAGAAAAAGAGAGAGTGTGTGTGAGTGTGTGATAGACAGGAGGGGAGCGATAAGAGCCTGATGGTTGTGTGTGTGTGTGTGTGTGTGTGTGTGTGTGTGTGTGTGTGTGTGTGTGTGTGTGTGTGTGTGTGTGTGTGTGTGTGTGTGTGTGTTTGAACAAATGGATGGCTAAATGAACAGAAGCTTTGCTGTTAAGTGCTCTTATTAGCTGCAGTAATTACACTAGCAAGAGGCATTAACACACACATACACACAGAGACTTATTAATCTGTCTTAAACAAGGATTTGTTATTTAAACGGAATATAAAAGTAGAGAATTTCATACATTTGATGTTATTTGTGCATGTATGCATGTATATTATGTTATATTATCAATTTGTCATTTCAGTTTGGTTCTATTTTTGTTCCACTTTCATTATTGTTGTTTGTTCTAGTTTTATATTATACCAAAAAGAGCACACAAAATATTTAATTTTAAGTCATGAAACCTTATTTTAGTTCAAGTTTTTTTTCCCCCAGTTATTTTATTTATTTATTTATTTTTCAATTCAAACTGTTTTCATTTAGTTTTTGTATTAGTTTTATTTAATTTAAATTTTTTGTCTTTGCAAAAATAACATTCTGTGCAGAAAAGAGGTGTGTATATATTCCAACAGTGCATAAAAGTGTTGTTATTGTTAACTCGAAGTAAAACTATACAAATCTTTTCATACATTTTAAATAATGCTGAAATAAAATAAAATAGGAATATTAGATGAAAAGATGAAATATTGCCTTGTCAAATAAATTGAGCTACAATTACTAAAACTAAAATAAAACAAAATAGAAATATATACTGTAGAATGAAGTATATAGAAAACTGGGGGGGGGGGGTAATAAAAAAGAAAAATGACAAAACAATAACTAAAACTAAAAATATAAAAATGAAAGATAATTCAACATGAATAAATGCTATACTCATATTATATAAATGATAAAAAATATAAAAGTGGTGCCTCATAATGCATCATAGAAAATATAGGCCAGAATTAAATCATGTTCTTTGTCACTGAAGCTCTATCTGAGCTAGAGAGTGATGATGTGACAAAAACTAGCACGCTTGGAGTGAGAAATGAAACCCGGAGAAAGGTTGAAAAAGAGCAGTTACAGGATCCTTTGGGGGGGGGGGGGGGCTGCTGCTGTTGCTCCAATCCACTGACATACTCTGACATATATCTGTATTTGTGTGTATCGGTGAGTGTGTGTGTGTGTGTGTAATGCAGTAGCTGCGATAGAGGTCACAGATTGAAACCCGAGTGTAAGAAAGTCCAACGGCCTTATCGATCCAACAAAGGAAAGAGCTCAGCACATCTCTCTCTCTCTCTCTCTCTCTCTCTCTCTCTCTCTCTCTCTCTCTCTCTCTCTCTCTCTCTCTCTCTCTCTCTCTCTCTCTCTCTCTCTCTCTCTCTCTCTCTCTCTCTCTCTCTCTCTCTCTCTCTCTCTCTCTCTCTCTCTCTCTCTCTCTCTCTCTCTCTCTCTCTCTCTCTCTCTCTCTCTCTGTCACCCACACATAGACACATGCCACTTAAATCCGTATGAGCTGCAGGAAGTGAATCACCATACACACGGACCACCAGCGTCGAAAGAGACTGGTCATTCAGATGTGTGCCTTTGACTCTGACTGTGGTCATTCTCACGAAAGAGCTTGTTTTTAATACGCCACTCTCATCAAAGGGTACATAAATGACTGACCCACCAGAGAGATAGACATGAAAGGGTCAGAGATACACAGACAGAGAGAAAGATAGATGGAGAGAGGCAGTAAAGGTCACATAAAAGGTCATGTTAAGGAAGATAATAAGGCACTCGCAGAGCAAGGGTAGACATCTGTACAGGCTACACAAGGACTTCTATCACTGTGTGTGTGATATGGCAGAACAAGGCTGCTCTTTGCTGTAACCGTACACACAAAGGATGATCACATTATCGTCAAGACAGTATTGGGGAGATATTTAGAATACAAATGAATAATAAAGTAGTTGAATTACAGTCACGTTGTGGAAAAAGTAGCTTAAAAGTACAGTAGCTATAGGGTCTGTAATATTTTTTTTAGTTTTTGAAAGAAGTCTGAAGTTATGCTCACCAGGGCTGCATTTATTTGATCAATTATTACAATTTAAAATAACTGGTTTCTATTTTAAAAAGTAATTAATTCATGTAAGTGCAAAGTTCCCCCACTGCTAACGGAAGTTAGCCTGGTTAAAACCAGACCGTTCTCAGTTGTAACTGAGTTCAAGCTTCATAGTCAAATCATTTCCAAAGGGGCGTCACCAACAGACGTAGCTCAAATCATAGATATCATATAGAGACTAGATGCCCTATTGGCCGCTGGGCACTGAGAAATCCGGCCGCCATCTTGAACCGGTCGTATTCCTATTGTGTTGCATAGCAGCAGTAGATGCCAGAGCACTGTGAAGAATATCCCTGCTCAAATCGGCAGACTATCACTCGGGAAATACTTTTTACAAGTAAGATTTAAGAAGTAAGATTAAGATATCCCATGTGTCCTGTATCATAGCTACATGTATGACCTTTGCAGGAAAAAAACGTGTGGACGCGTCTAGTATAAACATGGCTTTACCGTAAACAGACTTTACTCGGTGTCAGCGCGCTCTGATCGGTAAAGGGACACAGACCTCTACCGAATCATCTCCAGTATCCGAAGCACCACTAACTCCGCCTCCGTTTCCCTCGTAAGCTGATATTAATATTTAAACATTCTCTGATAAAAATGTTTGTGAAAAAAATATTTTAATAACAATTTGGCGGTTATAGTGTTCTAATGACGGTGTTCAACTATAGACCATTTCACAAGATGTAAACAACACTGGTCCAGAAGCACTTCCTGTTTCAGTTTGTAACTGTTTTCTTTATTTCACATGTAAAGAAAACATCTTAAAGATGTTTGTTTAACTTTTTGATTCAGTTTTAAATGTTCTGTTGGTTGTATTTTATCCCAGCTTTTATGTAGTGTTAAAAAACTGAAACAGGAAGTGCTTCTGGACCAGTGTTGTTTACATCTTGTGAAATGGTCTATAACCTCACACCCCTAGTTCCACAGCGGAAAAACAGCTTTGTAAAAGTACAAAATCTGTGTGTAAAGTCATTGTGCAAATCTAAATTTACCGGAAGTTGTCTGGGTTAAAAGTTAAACTGTTAAAGTCCCAGGCTTTAACGATAAAACAAGCCATCTCATTTTAGCTTTTTTCACATTTTTTCCTCTACTTGTGTCTTACAGGAAAGGCAAGTGAGAGCAGGAACTGATACCAGTGAAGCTGAACAGTTGTGTGTGTGAATGTAACAAACAGCACTTGCAGATGTTTTATGATTTACCGGTTCCATCTGCAGAGATCTCTCATCTCATTATGGTGCACTACAGCACACACAGTAAGCAGAGTACTTCAGTCAAGCATCTGAAACACCATTATAGCAAATATTCACCTAGTAAATCAGCTAAAAGTGTGTAATTTTTAATCAAATTGGAGAACAAAAGTGAAGACTTTTGTGGCTGCATTTCTTTCCAAACATTGCTGTTTATCGAGGCTGCTATACTAAAGTGCCCAAAGTTTGAGTTTAGGACGGGACTATCTGTTTGCCTGTGGGGAGAATGTTCAGGAAACCTATTTGGAAACAGTCACTTTTGTGCAAATTCATTTGCTGCCACTACTGGTGTAGAAATTTCACACTTCACACTATAGGATGTGTCAGGGCACACTTAGCATTTACACTATAAATTCCATGTGATCACACACATTTTTCAGCGACCTCCACATGTGGTTTGAGTGATCCAATGACAAACAGTTTGGACCCCCGTTTACACCTGTCTTTAGCATTGTCCATTTGTGATCAGATTACCTGAGACAGATGTTAATGCAGGGTGTAACACACACCAAAGACGGCTGACACCAAACCCCAAACGGACACATCCTGCAGAAGCCATAATGACCCTCACACACATACAGCCCCAGGCTTCAAACATCAGACAGGCCCACCGACCAAGTGCTAGCACACTAATGCAATGACACGCCACATTACATGCCCTCTCCAGCCATGGAAACTGCGCTTTCTCTGTGTGTTTGATTAAAGAGGTAGAAAAAAGGGCCAGCGCTTCGCTTGCTGGCCACAGCCCCAGTGTTTCTTAGGGAACCATTGGTCAGGTTCAACTAAAGGCCCTGATAAACTTCAAGCAAAATTGTAAAACGAACTGATGTGACGTCATTTCGAACAAAATTAGGCAGAAACAAAGTTCATTTAGAGTTTGTTTTGGGAGTTCAAAACAGCTTTCTAAAGCTATCTTGGTAAACACCTTTGTTACTACCATTTGTCCACGGAGATTACGTAATAGTGTGTGCAGAGGCTCCGCCTTCTTTCACGTGAAAATCTGTTCTGGTTCATTTGGCCTGTTCAGTTGGTTGAGGTGAAACATCCGCAAGTGAAAACAAGGCGTACTTCTGATGAAATGTGACAGTGACACTGTGTTTCATGTTTAATACGATACATATGCTTCATTTGAACTTTACTGGACTTAACTGGAGTGCTATAGAACTTGTCCAAACATAAGCACGTTTCTATGATCAGATGCTTTTCTTATGCTATATTAAAATGCTTGCTATTTTCTCAAATTTGTTGTGTGTTACTGAGAGGAAAGTGTGCAGCACAGATTTACATATTCATCTAAACGCCACTCTCAGCAGTGTGGGTGGTGTCAGACGTTCGATAACAGTACATCGCTACTCATGTTTTACCCATAAACGAAGAACGAAAAAGAACTTCACCATGAGTATATCTGGGCCTTAAGTCCTAACAGAAACAAACATTCACCTGGGTGTTTGTTTAGTTTGTTTGAGGAATATGAAGGACTTTTGGGAGAAAAGGATGTTTGTTTTATGTTGTAATTGTGTCATTTTTCTATTGGTTTTGTCTTTGTAGCAAGTCTACACCAAATTTCCTCTTGGGGACATTAAAATATACTTTTTTATTATATTATATTATATTATATTATATTATATTATATTATATTATATTATATTATATTATATTATATTATATTATATTATATTAGTTATTAATTTCAGCAATTTCAGCACTACTAGTGGCACCACACAGAATTGCAGTCTGTTTAAACAGTCGTGAACTGTTGTTTTTTGTTTGTTTTTTTAAAGCAATATGCTTTTTATAAAAGCAAGAAGCCACATGAGGTTAACAGTGATGTTTTCCCCCCCTGTTAAAGAGGTTTTAAGAACATCTATAACCTGTTGTAAAATCCCTGTAATGCACATGTTTGCTTTTTATACGTCTTGCAAACCGCAAACTGAGTATGTGTGTGTTTGCATGTCACTGGATTTGACCTTTTGGACAGTTGTGACCTCTATAACTACAGGGCTTTGCACATAATATCTGCACTTTGACCTTTTCAACTGCAGGGCCACAAGCAGACACACGCGGAAATGACCCAGATTGATCCTTAAACACATGGAGGCAAGCAAACATTATGACTGTGCCTGATCTTTCTCACAGTCTTTCTAACAGCCAAATTCTCTCAGTCTCAATCACATCTTATACAGCCAAACAGAACAGTTGTGGTGTTTGTGCAGTTGCCCTTAGTGACTGACCACAGGCTGCAAGTACTCTTTGTGTGCAACTCAAATATGCAAGAAAAAACGCAAGTAAATAAATTGAAAAATTAAGTAGAAATAGTTTGACAAACATGGGAACAAAATGTTTGTAACAAACCATCATAAACTATATTTCTAGTTTTTTTTTTTCGTTTAGATTGCGTCATTATTTTGATGAATAATTGCATTATTTTATTTCAATTTTGAGTGCATTATTCTCTCACCATGACACCATGCATCTTCATAGGGTGTGCAATTCCTGATGAGAATCTCTATCCCCTCCTCGCAGATGGTGCAAGGCATGCAGGGGTCCAGCGAGCTCTCCCGATCAGAGTAGGTGTCTTCCAGACACTCCTCACAGTCCGTGTCATGGGAGTGCTTGCAGCCATACAGAACTCCCTGACCGAGGGGACAAACAGTGCAGGCCTCGCACTGGCCAGTCAGGTCGTTCATGAAGTAGCCGTAGTTGCACTCACACACAGCGTCGTTCGAGTCGGTGCAGGGGGTCTGCATACGCATGAGGCCTGTGCACTCTCTACACGTCTGACATCTCTCTGTGTGACTGAACGTTTCAGAGAATGTCTCACCTGGAGAGGGAAAAACAGAGACATAATCAGAACGACAAGATAATTACACTATAATCTGCCCTTCTGCTGTAAATAATGACCCCTCAGGTTAAACATTACGTCCTTAGTACTTTAATTATAATAATAATCAGACAATATGGGCAAGGAAAACCAGTCAGGCCCGTGAAAACAGACAAAGAGAAAACAATTGGTAATCAATGGAAAGAACAATGTGCTGCATTGTGTTATCGAAATTTCAGTGTGTTCAGTTCTGTTCATTTCAATATGGCAATGATTTCTGCAGTCAAAACACAAGTCTACCTGGCTTTACTGTATACATAATGCATCTGAATTTACTTTAAACTGCTCTCGACATAAAACAGACCCTAGAAATATTGGCTATGAGCATTTTCTACATAAAAGTAGAATATAAATTATACTATATTTCATTATATTATAAATGTTTTGCCGGTGACAGTTGCGGCTCATGATGTGGTCACTAGTGAAGTGTTTTGGACTGTATGCGTTCCTGTGGTGAAAGCAGACAGTCAGTGTTGTCGTTTTTCACATGGCATTCATGGATCAGGTGAATGGCTCAAAAGCTGTGATTTCTACATGTTGCGTATTTTCAAGTGGTTCTACACCATATAATCATTGAGATGTAAAGCACTGCTGATGCCACTTTATAGGTACATCTTGCTAATACTGGGTTGGACCCCTTTTTTCCCAATTAACTGCCAAAAATTCTTTTTGGCATAGATTCAAAAAGTTTCTGGAAACAGAGATTTTGGTCCATACTGACATGATGGCATTATTACTAAGATGCCCAAAGTCTGACAAGAAAATCCCCTCACACAATTACACCACAGGCAGCAGCCTAAACCATTGATACAAGGCAGGATGGATCCATGCTTTCATGGTGTTTACGCCAAATTCCGACCCTGCCATCTGAATGTTGCAGCAGCAATTGAGACTCATCAGACCAGGAAAAATTTTTCCAATCTTCTATTGTTCTTTTTTGGTGAGCTTATGTGAATTGTAGCTTCGATTTTCTGTTCTTAGCTGACAGGAGTGGCACCGGTGTGATCTTCTGCTGCTGTAGCCCTTCTGCTTCAAGGTTTGACGTGTTGTGCATTCAGAGATGCTCTTCTGCAACCTCGGTAACAAGAAGTGGTTATTTGAGTTATCGTTGCCTTTCTATCAGCTCGAACCCGTCTCCTCTGGTATCAACAAAGCATTTTCACCCACAGAACTGCCATTCGCTGGGAATTTTCTCTTTTTCAGACTGTTCTCTGTCTAGAGACCCAAGAGATTGTTTTGTGTGAAAATCCCAGTAGATTAGCAGAATCTGATATACTAGACCAGTCCGTAGCAAGAGCCATACCATGTTAAAAGTCACTTAAATCACCGTTCTTCCCCATTCTGTTGCTCAGTCTGTACTTCAGCAGATCGTCTTCTTGACCAGTTGCTGCCATGTGATTGGCTGATTAGATATTTCCATTAACAAGCAGTTGAACAAGCACTCTAAGAAATGAAGCATGGGTGTAGTTTAATTTAAATACTAGTTTTATGGTAAAATTACTAAAAGTATTATGTTTATGCAGTAAAAATAAGCGAGTTTCATAGCATCAAATTAATAGTATAATATTTCAAGTCAACAAAATGTCACAGATTTAAACCAACGTAACCAGATCATTTTAAACCAACTAGCGGTTGAAGATTGTCCCAAAGCGCTTTCCGTACATTCAATCTCGCACATGATGCACGAGAAGATAGCATTTTCCACCTGTCCTTGGGCAACTTTTGAATCCATTATCATCCATAAACTATTTGGTAAGTAGAATGTTTTTTTTTTGTAATATATTTTACAATTTTACATTTGTGACAACAGATGATGTTTTTTGCGCTTAGCTGTAAACTTGTGCCCAACCCTGCTCCTGCCGATCGACTGTCCTGCACAGTTCATCTCCAATTCTAATCAAACACACCTGCCTTGAATTTGTGAATTCAAGTGATCCTGAAGACCTTAATTGGTTGCTTCAGGTGTGTTTGATTAGGTTTTAAACTGTGCAGGACAGTCGATCGGCAGGAGCATGCACACCTTTTAAAACGATCTCTTGCTAGCTTAATTTACACAGCATTAGCATGTATCCTTGTCATAGTAAGTGTGTTAGAAGTGGAAATAGTGAGAATTTGGTGGGGTTTTTTTTTAGTTTAGTTGTAATTTAGCTTTAAACTTTTTTATTGACATTTAACTTTAGCTTAACATAACACATGGCCTAGATATATTCTTTTTTAATGTTTTTTTTTACCTCCAGTTGGCTATAGTATTAAACTAATATTGTTTTTGTTGTTTTTTAAGCTCTTTATTAAATAAGTGCTGCTGTCTGTCTGTTATGTCTGAGGAAGAAAGGAAAGCACTGATATTGGAGGTGAAAAAGAAGAACAACCAACAGCTAATCAAAAGTAAAATGGAAAGAACCTTTGCCTATAGAAGACAGGAAGTTGTTAAAGATATGCCCTTCATAGCAGAGTTCAAAAACAGATGGCCAGCCCTGTTTTCTGAGAGCCAGGTAAAGTATTATTCATCATCTGTATTTAATTTAAATATGTGTAATTAATGTCTAAATACTGTATTAGGGTATTAATTTTAAACAAATGAGTAATATTTAATTGACAAAGGTTTGGAGGCAATGTTGTAAGAATCCATGCATATGGTTGTTCTGCTCTATATTAGGCCTACAATGCACATTACACAAACATCCATATAAAATGGTTACAGATAGCCCACATTGAACCTCCAACTAAAAACATTTAGCCAAAAGCAAACTCATGTTCCCTTGGGGTGTCAAACTCAAAGTTACAGAGAGGGCCAAAATTAAGAACTGGTACTGTTATGCTGTCTTAATATTATTATTATGGCCACGCCAGCTCCACCATCGAGGCAAACTGGATATAATTGTACCACGGCCAGATGTAGCCCACAGAGTTTGACATATTTTGTTTTAACTTGAATTTGTGTTTTAATACGTTTCAGGTAAATGCAGAACTCACCTTCATCACCACAGCCCCCCTGTTCTCAACCTTTATGTCCCGACTGGATCATTACTCCAACCAGCCATTGAGGGTATTCAAAAAGAAGGGGGGAACAGCAAGACACGATATCGACATAATCATTGTGGAAATGGACAAGGTATGTGTTTTGGGTGTATTTTGGGCTCTGACCCTGGGGGTTTAACATTTACTCTAAACATAATTACTACATTAAAACTAATTACTCTAAATATGACTTGCTATCACAAATACAAAATTCTATGATTTGTACAAATAGAGGTATTTCTGTAAATGTTTTTAATTTACGAAAAGGATGCTTTATATTCTGTGCAGATTTATCATGAAATGTCAGTTGTACATCTGTAATTCTGCTTGTGAAATGTTGAATCTGCTTTTCTGAATTGCCTGATGCAATTGTTCATTTGTCCATTCAATTACGTATATTTTAGTTCAAACTGAACAATACTGCCTCCTTCAATGTGTCAATGGTATAAGCTTGAGAAACACTTGAGGTATCTGTGTAAATTAGGGCTTGCTAAATAGTGAAATTATTTTCTCAAAATATTATCCTTAAATGGAATGAGTGTGTATATCACGCAGTTGACAAATTAATGACAAATAAACTACAGATTTACAATTGATATTTAATTAAAATTGCATAAATCAATTAATTAAAAACTTGGTAGAATAAGGTCATACTAGATTTGTCAATGTGATAATGGCAGTTTCCTCAAATAAAATGTTCAAAATCAGTTGTTGGTTTCCCACAGAATCCCAGTGTTGAAGTACGACGGACTGAAATGAAAAGCCTGGCAGCCTTATTAAGGAGCACTGAGCACTGAGATGAGAGAGGTATCCATCAACTCATCTTAGTTAAGGGAATAACATAGTTTAATATAAAAAATGGTGGAATGTTCAACATCTTTTTAGTTTGTTACTAGTGTCAAATATGCATAATTAATAATGGGTCTCTTTGTTTGTCATAGGCTATCGAGGATATTGGTATTGATGCAATGACGGAAATGGAGAAACTGGCTTTGGGTCTCTATGTTGTTCGACATGATGGAGCAGATGCTACAGATCCACCTGAGGATGTTGGCATCGTCATTGAAGGCTGCACAGTGCTGCGAGATCTGAGAGAGGTTACAAATGGATGTGCAGTCCTGTTTGGCTTGATCTACTGTTTAAACTTGAGCTATCCCATGGAGCTGCGATACTTTCGAATTTCTTCAGGAAGTGTTAATGGAAATGGATGGATGAGAACAAGCTCTCCACTAAAGTGCAGGTCCTCAAAAACAAACTGCATGAGTAAAATCACCTGCACCAGGCAAGACTGGACCTGGCCTTTTGTTGACTGCTGCTTTATTTTTGGACTGCTGCTGGACAAGGTAAAGCTGTGATCAATAATGTTTGGAATAAGCAAACAAGACTGTAGTTGATTAATTTAAATTAGTCTATTTGCATTTTATGTGTATTTATGTTGGTGTCTTCAATTTTATTTGTACACTTTGCATTTGTAAGTTTTGCTTACTTTGCATAATTGTGTCAGTCATGACAGTGCCAGCTATAGTAATGCACATTGAAGGTCAAAATTACTTTGACTAATATTTCAAAACCAAAGGTGAATAAAGTTAAAGTGACTTGAGTATTTTTATTAACAGTTTATATTATTGATCTGTGTTGTATATTTCATGTTATCATTGTGAAGCTGCTTTGATACAATCTGTATTGTAAAATGCGCTATATAAATAAATTTGACTTGACTTAACAGCAACTAAGTTCTAGTCATTAAGTACAATCAACACAAATGGACTACATAGCTAAGCTTCTGTTTAATAAATTTAACTTAATCAGGTCATGTTAGTTCAAGCTATAGTCATTAAATGCAAGGCAATAATTTACATTTATTCAAAATAATTGTGCATTGTTCCATTTAATTAACACAGTTATGAACGATTTACTTAAAA